GTAAATGTTAAAAGGAGTTCGGTCTAGACCTGCTCTATTTGAAAAGTGTCTCTCAGTTTGTCCTCATGTTTAAATCCTTTATAAACAAACAATAACGCATCAGTCTGAGCTCTGAGACGATTAAATTATTCTTATTTTCAGCTGAATAAACACGAATGAAAACATATTAATATCACATTACACTAATATTATACTACAGTAATATTATATAAGATTAATATTATATTACAGTAATATTATATAAGATTAATATTATATTACAGTAATGTTACAGCCTGGAGCTTTAAGACATTTTAACATCTCATTAAAAACAAGTTCGCTGAAAACATTACAAAAAAACTAATTTTACTTCATTTTATGTTTGTCAGTCTGAACTTTAGTGATGATATTTTGATATTTTGGTATTTCTGCTTTATGTTTTGGGTTCAAACTGATCAAAGATGTTGAGTTTGAGCTGCTGGTTCTGAAACTGATGACATTGATTGACAGATTTTATTGATCTAATTTGTCTTTCAGGATAAGTGAAGATATGATTAATTAAAGAAACACTGGAGAGACTGAAACTAGCTTCTTATCTCTCATTCATTTAACCAGCGACTGATTAAATGTGTAACTTTGTGCAGAAGCTCAGCAGCTCGTCAGCAGCTTGTTTCACAGCGGTCGGGTCAGAATTAGCATTTGACAGACTGAGAGTAAAGCCGGTTATCTTCAGCACTAACTGCGGTTCAGAAACGGGAAGAAGCTCCGAGCTGACCATCCCGACCCGCTTTCACACGCTGGATTTGGTCGTTTTCTTTCCCTCTCTTGTCCTCCGGCACATAAAGTGTCCAGTCATCGATGTATTTGTCCCTTAATGAGCTGTTTGGGCTCATTATCCTGCTGGCAGACTCACAGAGGACTGTAGGTCTCCAACATGGCTGAACACCAGCACTGGCAGCTGCTCGCCTCTCCGCTAGAAACATTAGCCATGAAGCTCTCTGGCTCCGAATCAAACTCACATACACACTAACTTTAGTTTTATGTTTATCAAATAATAAATCAGTTAGACACAAACATTTAACCTGTTTTATTATTATAATAATTATAATTA